CGTTTGAGCTCAGGAGTTCGAGACCAGCCCGAGCAAGAGCGAGATCCTGTCTCTACTAAAAATAGAAAGAAATTAATCGGACAACTAAAAATATATAGGAAAAAAAATTAGCCGGGCATGGTGGCACATGCCTGTAGTCCCAGCTACTAGGGAGGCTGAGGCAGAAGGACTGCTTGAGCCCAGGAGTTTGAGGTTGCTGTGAGCTAGGCTGAGGCCACAGCACTCTAGCCTGGGCAACAGAGTGAGACTGTGTCTCAAAAAAAAAAAAAAAGGCCTTTTGTGCACTGCCATCCAGTATATGCATAAACACACAAAAATCTAAAACAAATATTTTGTGAAACAATGGCTGTGAGCAACACATCCTATATTCTTCTATAGTTAAGGTTGCCAGATAAAATACAGAATGTCCAATTAAATTTGAATTTCAGATAAATAACAAATAATGTTTTGGTACAAGTATACCCTACATATTACATGGGACACACTGATATACTAAAAAATTATTCCTTATTTAAAAACTCTAATGTAATTTAGTTTCCTATATTTTTATTTTCTAATTCTTGCAATCCAAATGTACAGTTCGCTTTTTCACAATGCTGGCCACATATGCCAAATTGATTTTATGAGCCACCAATAAGTCTCCACCCAGAGTTTCAAAAACATTGCTGCTTGGGTGGCAAAACATTCAAACAATTAAATTAAAGCTATTGTAGCTTGAATTTACAATAAACATAAACCCATGAAATTGGGTACAAGATAATGAGGGACTGAGATTTAAGAAGAAAAAGTACTGAAAAAATGTTAAAAACAAGGTGATAATTTGAGTGGGTGTTTCACAGCAATAAACCAATTTTCTCCTTCCAGTTGTTACTACATTTCAGAAACACAAGTCTTCCAAAACCTTTCCAAACAAATTGTAAATGGAGGAAAACAGGAATACCTGTACAATCTCTAAGGAGCAGAGCTGTTTAATAATAAAATTATGGTTGTAACTAAAAGGACAATTACTCTCAATTATAACAATGTACATTAATGTTTTATGAAAAGTAGAAAGAGATAACATTATTTGTCTAATTAAATTTATTGGCTCCAGAAATTGGGTAGTCTCATTATCTACCTAGTACGACGGGAATTAAATACAAAATTTTAAGTTATTTGCAAAAGTATTCAAACAATTAACTTGAAGAGATAAATATTTTTAAAATCTATTTTTAAAAATTTGAATTGTGCTGCATACCTCGAGATAAAATTAAACCAAAAAATTGAAACAGCACACACTCATATATGTCAATATTAGGAATATTGTATTTCTAGGTATAAAAATACCCAAAGGTAATTCTTGAAAGAATTGGCATACCTTTGGAAGCTCTTCAATCTGATTAGCATCTAAATAGAGCTCCTCCAAAGTTTTTTCAAAAGTAAAAATCTCTTTGGGAACCTGTTCCAGACTGCAATGAGAATAATCAAGAGTAGTGACAGTCTCCTCTTCGCCTCGTAGACAGCGACATGGTACCAACCGCACAAACAAGCTTCGTTTTGTAGTCATTTTTAAATACTGCAATATTCAAATAAAAATAAGTGTAATTAAAACAAATACATCATAACAATTTTCAGAACACATTATTCCAATTTATCACAATTCATGTCACAGATAAACAACACTTTCCTGACACTGCATGCACCCAATGGAACCCATTTAACATTGCTTGAATACCCACATTTAAATCTTGTGGATTTCAAATTAAACTCAAGCACTTTAGTACTTACAAAACAATATATAAAGTAACCATTTACGTGCTTCTACAAAAACACTGATTTGTGAATCTGCTTCTTAGGTCTCACCAAAAATAACCTCTAGCATGACAAAATTTTTCTTTAAGTCCTGGCTCTAAGACTTCTATGTTTTTTTTTTTTTTTTGGAGACAGAGTCTCTCTCTGTGCCCAGGCTACAGTGCCTGTGGCGTCAGCCTAGCTCACAGGAACCTCAAACTCTTGGGCTCAATTGATTCTCCTGCCTCAGTCTCCTGAGTAGCTGGAACTATAGGTGCAGGCCACCAAACCCAGCTAATTTTTTCTATTTTTAGTAGAGACAGGGTCTCACTCTTGTTCAGGCTGCTCTCCAACTTCTGAGCTCAAGCAATCCTCCCACTTCGGCCTCCCAGACTGCTAGGATTACAAGCATGAGCCACTACACCCGGCCTCTGTGTTTCTTAACTAAGAACTTGATTATGTGCAGTTTTAGTAGGAAACAGTAGGAATGCATAGATGTTTGCGGGTCTTTTTAACCAGCCATTGGGGATCAACAACCGTTTTTAATTTTCCTATGATTCATGAAAATTCCCACCTACCCCAAGTATATTTTGTATCAATTAAATATTGGCCTTATAGTTTTTCTAAAAGAGCTTGTAGGTCTTAAGTGTGTTTAAGGTTACACACTGAATCATAAACTTCCTTAAATAAAGTAATTGAGGGAAAAGGCCAATTCTGAATTAGTAAAAATTCTGAAGGCCAATTTTATTAAGTATATAATGTAAGTACATAGGTTAATTCCAACTAGGCTAAGATTATATTAGCAAAGAGAGACCCACTTCAGTAAATAAGTAGTGTTACGAATTTTTTGTATGTAAAATCATCAATTCTTATCCTAGGCAGGAGACTCTATTAATACAGTTATTAGGCCAGGCATGATGGCTCACACCTGTATTCCTAGCACTTTGGGAGACTGAGGTGGGAGGATGGCTTAAGGCCAGGAGTTTGAGACTGGCCTGGGCAACACAGTGAAACCCCATTCCTACCAAAAATAAATAAATAAATAACTGGGTGTGGTGGCACACACCTGTAGTTTCAGCTACTCCAGAAGGTAAAGCAGGAAGATTGCTTGAGCCCAGGAGTTTGAGGTTGCGGTGAGCTATGATTGCACCACTGCCTAAGTGACAAAGTGAGATCACAGTCTCAAAAAAAATAAAAGTATTAGATTACTTCTAATCAGGACAAAGACTAAGTTAAAGCCAGTGAGGTCTCGGGCACAAAATATAAGGAGATATCAAAAAAACTCAGCAATCAAGACAAATACAGTATTCTAACACAACGTATTTTTTTAAAAATACAAACTACTGAAAAATAATCCGCGTGTTGACCCAAATAAATAACTGACACGTTTGCGTCCTCAAAATCTTGGCTTAACAAACCTCTATTGATTGAGATTTTTGCCTCAGTTATTTGGGTCAACACATGGATAAATAAAACATCAAATGTTTAAATAAAGACAGGATCAGTATTAATGATTTTTCCTTTTGCCTCAGGCTGCAATATGGATCCACAAGGCACTGCTTCTAAATTTTCTAACTCTTATACTTCAAATTATATGATATTTTTAAAGTGTTTGACACTGAGCAGGGTAAGTATTTCCCTTGCAATCTTTTTAAAAATTTGATTATTCTCATTCAATCACCCTGTGCCAGGCACTCTGCTAAGTTCTTTAGATAAATTATATCCATATTTTCATTTCATCCTCACAACTTTCTAAGATACAAGCTATTATCCCCATTTTTCCATAAAGAAACTGAGTTTGTGCTTTTTGAGAGATGGGAGTCTTACTATGTTGCTTAGACTGGTCTAAAACTCTTGGGCTCAAGAGATCCTCCTATCTCAGCCTTCCAAGTAGCTGGGACTACTGCTCTTCTATACTGCTTCTCAATATAGAATAATATATACTTTAACTAAGGTTCTCAAAGCAATTAAGGTATCAGTAGATCTTTGCTACATACTTTTCCTTCAGGATTTACAAAAAGAAACTAAGATGCTAAACATCAAATGTTTCCATCTAAAATCTTTGTCAATAAATAAGTATCCAAAAACATTTATCAAATATTATGAACAATCTATGTTCACATAAAGGCATGTTTAACTGAAAAGAATAAAACAGTTCATCTAATAAGAAGATTTTAATTGCTAACGGGGAATCCAGCTTATACTTGTGTGCTTATGAGATCATTTTTTAAATTCCAAAAATGGACACAAAATTTCTTGTTCTAGATATTTTAAGAATACAACTGATATTGAGTCAGAAGGACACTTAAGAATGGGAAAGAATTCTATCTACATTGTCCAATATGGTAGCCTCTAGACACTTGTGGCTATTTAAACTTAAAGTTAAATCAAATAAAATTAAAAATTCAGTTTCACAGCCACACCAACCACATTTTAAATGCTCAATAGCTACCTGTGACTAGAGCTACCATATTGGACCAAACCTGAGATATAACACTATTTACAGAGCAATTGTTAACGAAGATAAAACAATTTCCAAGATTTTTCTGTAGAGCTAATCATGTCGCAGAAAAACAGAAATTGTAGAATTTCTCAGAAAGGACAATAAATTTAGAAAAGAAAGACTAGATGCTTGGCTCTAGAATTTCTCAGAAAGGATAATAAATTTAGAAAAGGAAGACTAGATGCTTGGCTCTAGGAAGCTGCACAGAGTTTACATCTCAAAGGGAAACCTCCTGTGGACAGAGGCTGTGAAGGGAGCAGTTTAGACTTCAGATGAAATTCACTGCGAATCTAGAGCCAATACAAAAATGGACCTCCATTCAAAAGAGGCCTGCAGATGGAAGTAGTGTAGACTAAAAACTGCTGATTGCTAAAAAAGGAGGGAGACCTTAATCCTTGAGGGCAGAGGAGGAAAGTACTATTATGAAAGAGAAGTAAACAAGTAACAATACCCAAAGAGATCTTCCCTTAGACAATGATACTGGAAAGTAATCCAAAAAGGAGAAAGCCTAACCTGGTCTGAGAACAGGAACTGATAAACATAGCTGCATGTTAGGACTATGATAAGGAAGAAACATTTTATAAATTAGAAGCAACACAGTAAATGTAACAATCTTCTCATCACAATGGAGGGACAGAGTCAATCCAGAAAAGGGGCATAATGATAAGCCAAAAACTTTCTATCAAAAGAAATTAAAGCTACTTACCCCTGGGTTGAATTTATCTCCCTGATGTTTCTTAATTGAGCCAACATTCTACGGAAAACAAAAAGAGAACAGAAATTAATAATAAAAATGGATCTTTATGACTGTAAGGAACATCTCTTTTAATTTCTAATACATAATGAAAGCTAAACTAAATTTCTCAAAAACTGACCATTGTAAACTGAAAACAGACCAAACGGTCAAACAAAATATTAGCTTCTTAAAAACATACATGGGTGCATGTGCATACATACACAAATTTGCTAGCTTCTAAGTAAATGTCGAGCTTTTTAAAAAGTGGATTGTTCATACATTTGTAAACTATTGAGAGCCCTCAACTATATCAAAAAATACCCTTTCTTATCCAGAGGAGGGAAATTGGCAAAGAGAAAAAGGGAAAATAAATAAATAAATAAAAATGCCCTTTCACGTACCACTATAATGTCAGTTTTTTTAATTTACTGGGAAATAACAAAAAATTTTCCATGCAAATAAATGCTAATCACCAATTATATTTAAATTTAGTAGTTTTTGATGGTTCTGTGTGGCAGGCACTGTTAACTGCTTATGGGATTTATTTTCCCTTTTAAGAATCTTGACTATTCAGAACAGTAATGGCCCCAGCTAAATACTCACTTTTGTACTTTCCAGGCCTGGAGGGATGGACAGGGGATAGGTGACATAATGAAGATCAAAGTCTTATACTCTGAAGTCTGCTTTGGGAGTGGAATGGAGGCTAATTCTGGGAAAGCATTTGCTTTCCTGATAAATGGGAACAAATGTGTCTGATATCACCACTCTCCCATTTTTCTAGCTTTGAATCTGTACATGATGGCTAGTGCTGCAACAACCATCCCATTACCATAAGTCAACAAGCATGAGGATTAAAAATCCACCAATAAATAAGGCTGACAAGAAAAAGAGAACGTGCTGGGGGTCTCAAACAGCAGCTGTACCTGAACAGCTATACCTACCAATGCTAATTGCAATCTACTTTTGGATTTCTTGGTATGTGAGAAAACTAAATCCCTTTATTTGCTTAAACCATTGCTAGGTTTTCTGTACTTGTAGCCAATACATTCCAAAGTGAGACAGCCTAAAGCCCAAAACAATGGTCTTAATAAAAAGCATATGCATACAACATAAATAATCTTTTTCTCAAAAATTCAGAGTGATATCTGAAAATATCTTTCAAAATTTCAGAGTTGCCCTAAATATGGAGCTATTTGTCTCTATGCTAAATGGTTTGGAACTACTGAGTTGTTTAAGTTTCTCTAAGAATTCTACATATTCTGCATGCCATACATACACACGAAAAAATTCCTGTGTGTATAGCAAGCAAAGATGGCCACTAAATCTTCTGTCATTCATACTATTCCCACAGATGTGACAGTCTAGTAGAATGGAGCTGCCAGTATACTGAAATGGAATAAGACCATGGTAGGAGCAAGGTGGAAAGAAGAGAGATGGGACGTTTGTGTTTAGAAACTTCAATTTGAAATACCTTAAGGATATCTAAGTAGAATATTGAGTAGGCAGCCGGATTTGGGCATTCAGATTGTGGGACGAGATCTAAGCTCAGAATATATTAATAAATTTGAAAGTCATCTGCTTATAGATAATATTTAAAGCAATGAAATTAGATGAAATCACCAGGGACATGAGGGTAGACAGAAAAGAGAACAAGTCCAATGACTGAGCACCAACACATTAAAAAATTAGGGGTCAGAAAGAAGAGACAGAACCAGCAAATGACACTCAAGAGAAGCAGTCAAGTGAGACAAGAGAAAAACCCAAAAAAGTGTGACATCCTAAAAGCCAAGTGATGTTTCAGGGAAGAAGGAATTATCAACTCTGTTAATGAGGACTTAGAATTGCCATTATGTATTAATGTAAAGGTCACTGTTAACCTTGACAAGACCACTTTTAGTGATGGGGCAAAACACTATTTGAAGGGGATTCAAAAAAGAACAGAAGAACTAGACATAGCAAATATAGACATCTAGAGTAGTTTTGCTATAAAGGACATTAGAAAAATAAAGCAGTTGCTAGAGCAGAATATGAATCAAGAAACACAACAGTGGATTTGTAGGCAGATGGGAATAATCTAGTAGAGAAAAAGAAGAGCTCATTGATAAATTTTTATAAATAGGATTTGGGCAACCATATGTAGACGACCCTAGCAAAACCACCCACCAGTAAAAAAGCTGCAAGAAAACAAAACAAACTTGGGTGGAACTATATGTAACTAGCTGAATAAAATTCACTCAGGATATTTTTCAACATTAGGGATTACTACACCCTCTCCCTAGAGATTCTGATTTAGTGAGTTAATATAAAACTCAATATTCTTTATCTTAAATAAAATGCCTGTGTGATTCTTTCACACATAGTTTCAACAACAATCAAATACAGTCGATCCCGATTCATCTATACCAAAGCTACCATCATTTAGCCCTCCCCATCCTCTACTGAGGATTATTTTGCCTAAAGTCCCAGTTTGAAAACTACTATAAAAACTGAAAAGTAAAACCACTATAAAGATTTTTTTAAAATACAGCACTTTATATTCCCCTATTTATCTAAAGAGATCACAAGTTGCCTAGATTTAAGAGAAATCTTATGTTGGTGCAATACTTCATTTAATTAAAACAAAGGCTCCTCAGGCATGCCCACACCTACTAGGTGGTATTTAGTGGTTGTACAAGATCATTTAGTTTAATCATGATTATCACAGTGGTTGCCAATCGGTATTTGGTATATCTGTGCTTAGTTCTGAGGCATTTTATGGACATTATTAGCCCATTACTGATAAGTACACAAATAGTAAACAATTAAAATAGTAATATAAAAAATAATAAGAATAGGAAGATAAGAAGAGTAAGATTTTAAATTTACATAATGAAAAATTATAAATGTTATATAAGAGTAATTCTGGAGGACAATAGTCAAAAACTGAATATACATAATGTGATGTGCTTGTAACACATATAAGAAATGAGGAAAGGATGCTGATGGCTAAACCACACTTATAGCTAGAAGATCAACATCAATGTCTGGACCCATTAGCCTAATTCTAATCAAGTAGTAAGTTGAGAGTTTCTTCAATATGAACACTGTTAAAAACTTTTATAACAAACCATGGTTAGCCTAAACATGTCTAAAAAATTACTGTGCAATGAAGTGGTAGACATATATACTGAAGTTACTAAGAAGTACCCCACATTTGCATAAATTTCCATTTTTATATTTTTGGATAAAATTTACACAATGAAATGACCACATTCTAAGAGTATAGATAGCAAATGTCTACAACTGTGTAACCAACAGGAACCAAGACATACACTATTTCCATCACCCTAGAAGATTCACATTTGCCCTTTTCCAGTCAACCCCCTGACCAAGGCAACCTGCCCCGAATAAAAATATTATGATATTTGTAGAGAAGTGTTACGAGAACATAGGCCTTAGTTCTCATGGGTAAGTACGTGGAAATGAAATTTATGGGTCATAATTTGTAAGTATATTTAATTCTAATAAAAACTATCATTTTACAAAGTGGTAACTTAACACCCCAAGCAATGAGAATTCCAATAACAACTTCATCAACACTTGGTATTTTTAGTCGTCCTTAATTTTAGCCTATGCAGTGCGTGTAGAGCAGCACCTCATTGTTTTTATTTTGCACTTCTGTAATTACAAATGGCATTGAGGAGCCTCACCCTTACCTGGACCTCATTTTAATGATGAGACACATACAGATCTTCAAGCTTTATACTCTATCTAACGGTGTAAGACTTTTGGAGAAGAGAGTGACCAAATTTTGTATATGGGAGGAATGCAAATTACAGTAATAGAGAGTATGGTGTGTTGGAAGAAAATTCTCCATAATCATCTCACATTTCTGCATGGTGTGTGGGTCTTCTGAGCAATGTCATTTACAGCTGATTTAAGATGTTTGTATAAAGAGACATTCCGGGATAACAATGCTTAGCATGACTAAGACAGTCCACCTTCCCCTCTCCAGAAAAGACTCCAGTGGTCCAAAATAAAATCAGGTTTCCTAATTTGGGGTTCTTCTGTAACCACACTAGTGCATGTACAGGTATCACCTGACCCTTACTTTGTCACCCTATGGAGATTAAGGCTAGGGGGAACTGACACAAGACACTGCTCTAGTTGCTGCTTTTGCAGTAACCGATAATCTGTCTCTAATCTAGAGGTCTTGTCTGGTAGGCTTAACTTTTCAGTTTGTAAATAGGGTAAAATTTCAGACTCTTCACTGTTTTTGACTTAACCACTGTAAACTGAAAAACATGGCCACAATATGTTAACACCACCAAAAATCAGGAGATGGAATCTATTTCCCCACGCCATGAATTTGGGCTGGCGTTGTGAATTGCTTATACCAACTCAATGAGGCAGAAGTTTTATTAGGCAAGTAACAGTGCCTATGCCTCAAGATTCACAAAGTTTGCCTTCTTTGAATGCTTTTAAATTTGAATGCTGCCCTGAGAACATGAGGTAATAAAGAAGCCTGGGATAAAAGACCACATGCTGATTCAAAAAATTCAGAGAAATAACAAACTGCTGTTGTTTTAAGCCATTAAGTGTTGGAGAGATCCTTAATGCCACAATAGATAACTAAAACAACTGGTTTTAGTTGTTTTAAAATAACTAAAACAAAAGTTTTAAATAGTATTTCCTTTTTTATCTTTTAATACCTATAGAAACTGTATACCCCACCCTGCCCCACATTATTCCTGATATTGGTAATCTGAGTTTTTTCCCCAATCTTACTAGAGATTTATCAACTGTATTGATTTTTTCAAAGAGTAAATGTTATATTTTGTTCATTTTCTTATGGTATGTTTTCTATTTCATTGATTTGTACTTTTTTCTCTGTATTTGCTGCCTTTTGCTTATTTTAAGTTTCTCTTTTTCTGTCTTCTTAGGGCAAAACTTAGGTAATTGATTCTCATTCTTATTTCATTAAAATTTAAAATATAAATTCTCTGAGCACTACTTTAGCTGCACTTAATAATTCACGT